TTGTAAAATGTCCGTTTAAAACTTTAGGTTTGTCACAAATTAAATAAACCTAGTTATGGCATATATTTCTAAAATATTGACCTATTTCATTTTTTATAAGCATAGATATATAATTTTTATTTGAAAATCGGCATGTCTAAAAGTGTTATTACATGCTTCTTTCTTCTTTGGTTTTCATTTTGCAATATAGGGTATAAATTAAATTCCCTAAAGTCGATTTAACGAGAATACCACGTAATTTTATTTAGTTAGTAGGTACTCAAGTAAACTGCAATTCTCAACTTTTCGTTTCATTTCATTTCATACTTTCACAGTTCATTTATACATTTATTTCTTTATTGTTCTCTTTTATTTTGTTAGACGTACTATTTCTGCACTAGTTATTGATATTAACTCAAAAATAACTGCGCAGAAAATTAATATCGTAACAATACTATTCTTGGAAATAATAAATACAAAGTGTTACAGTATCTATAAAACGACAGTTTATTTCAGGATAAAATATTGAATTTTTAAAATTTAAACTACACAAAAAGTGAGCAACACGATATACGCACTTGAAAGAAACGATGCTAGTTATTCTGTATAGCAGAAAATCTGCATATAATTTGTCTTAGACTTAATGTTTTATGCGCAAAACATAAAATTATATATAAATACATGTGTGTGTGTGTGTGTGTGTGTGTGTGTGTATTTGAATAATTTCTATTGAAACGACGAGTGACGATAATGTTGGTCGTCAATCATCAAGAGACTCCAGATTGTGAGTAATAGTGAGATGCAAGTAATTAATGAATTGTTATTATACTGATTGCCAGAAAATAGTATTTTATTTTTTTACATTATTTAAATGATGCGTGTAGTATAGTTAACAGTAATGAACATTCCACTTAAAAGTAGGTAGCTATAAATGGCTATACCATGAAAAAATACCTTTAAGTACAAAAAATAAGTGTTGGGTGTGACAATATTTAATAGTCAAATATTTGCATTGTAAACACATGCATAGGTACTACTGTTAATAGGTAGCTATGTACTGAAATAATCATTGCAATCTAATAATAATAATATAGTAGTATGTAATACATCTATTTTTAAATAATATAATAATACTAATATTGAAAATCAATTCCATTATCTAAATATATTTTTTTACCTATATTATCCCACAATTTGATTGCACTT